AAATCAAAATAAAATAAAAAATAAATAAAAATAAAAAAATAAATAGTAATATTAAAAAAAAAAATAAAAGAGAAATAACAAAACAAACCCCTGTGTACTTACCATCCAGCTTAGGCCATAAAATGTTTCAAACTGTGAGTGACAAAATCAATTTAGTGGGTCACAATGGGTTTTTTTATTTTAATGGATAAAAGAAAGAACACTTGAGTGCATCTACCATACTAAGGGTAAACCTTGTAGTGATACTCCCACTTCAGGTCTGTGGAAACATACCTTCTTGAAACAAGAAGCACCGTGGGCCTCCCCAAGCACTGCTGCCCTTGGGAGCGGGGCTCTCCGATAGCACTTCCACCCCAACCTCTGCGAATTCTTGGTCAGCCAATCTCTTGCTTCTCCTTCTAGTGTTAACATTTGGGAACTACCCTTCCATGGTATATGGGATGTTTGGACCTATTTTCTGACCTCTGCATTCTTTTGTGACTGGCCCTTTACTCCACATTTTATTTTGGAGATTCATTCATGTTGATGAGTACCTGAAATTTGCTTTTTTTTTTTTAACTGCTGTATAGTATTCCAGTCTATAAAAAAAAATCACAACAGGTTATTTTGTTATAGGACACTGGGTATCCCCCTCCCCCTACTACTTGCTCTTATTCATATCCCCTGGTATACACATACACACGGGAACTGTTGAGTCCCAGTCACCTTCACCTTTACCACTCCTCCTGCAGTGGGGGAATTCCTGCTGCTCCGAGTCACTTCATAACCTCATGAATACTTCATGTTATCTTTTTCTTGCTGTCAATTCAAACAAACAAACAAAATATCCCAAAAACAACCCCACTGCCATTGAGTTGATTCCACTCACAGTGAACCTACAGGACAGAATAGAACTGTCCCACAGGATTTCTAAGGTGTAATCTTTACAGACAGCCACATCTTTTACCCACAAAGCACTTGGTGGATTCAAAGTGCTGACCTTTCAGTTACATCAAAGCATTTTAACCACTGTGCCACGAGAGTGTGAAATGTTATTTCACCGTGGTTTGATTTTCATGTCCTGGTTCCTTACTGAAGTTGTGCATCTTCTTATGGTCACTTGATTCCTCTCCTCTAGTGTCAACTGGAGGAGCTCTGGTAGCATAGTGGCTAAAGCACTTGACTGCTAACCAGAAGGCTGGCGGTTCAAACCCACCAGCCACTCCTCGGAAGGAAGGTTGGGCAATCCTACTTCCGTAGTGATACTGCCTCGGAAACCCAAGGAGGAGTCAGGGCCAACTCGACGGCACATAACAACAACAACAACAAGTGTCAACTGGACTCTTTTATCCATTCTTTGGGTTATCCTGTTATTGATTTTTAGAAGTTCTTTATGTTTTCTGAATACTAATCCTTTTACTGTGTTACAAATATCTTCTCCCAATGTGGCCTGACTTTTCACTCTCCTTATGGTGTCTCTTGATGCACAGAGAACTTGTTATCTTGAATGTAAGTAGAATTTATCAATATTTTCCTGTGTAATCTGTGCTTTTTGTCCTTTCACCAGGGCCTTGAAGCTATTCCTCTATAATAACTTCTGCAACTTTTTACTTCTGTCTTTAACATTTGGGTGTGTAATCGGTTAGAAACTGGTTTTTGTACATGGTACAAAATAAGGATCAAATCCCATACTAAAGACAAATTATCCCAGTACCATGTCCATTCTTTCTGACCTAACTGTAGGTCTGCTCAGTCTAAATCCTGTCTTCATGTGTTTATTACTGTGCTCTCTTATGTCCCACTGATCTGTTTATTTCCATCCTGTGTTTTCTTATCTATGTTTACAGATATTAGAACAGTATTTCTGATATACAACAGCTAATTCCAACTTTGTTCTTGTTCTTTGTGTCTTGACTATTATTGGCCCTTTGCTTTTTCGTGTTCATTTTTAAGTCATCAGCTTGTTAAGTTGTACAAAACCAAAACAACTTTTTGGCATTTTGCCTAGAATTGCATTGAATCACAAATCAATTCTGGAAGAATTGTTGTTACAGTAGCAAATCTTAGAACCCCAAATCATGGCTACCTCTCCATTTATTTAAATCTTCTTTAAAATCTTTCAGTGAAATTTTAGTTTTCCCCGTGAGGCATTTATGCAACTTTAAGTTTATTGCTAGAAACTTGGTATTTTTTCTGTTACCATAAAACTGGTATCTTTTTTTTAAAAAAAATTTCATTTTCTATTTATTTATTGTTATACAGAAAAACTTATTTTTGGGAACTGATTTTTATATCTAGCAATCTTGTTCAACTCTTTAATTCTAATTTTAATAACTCTTAATTCTAATTTATCTGTAGAAATTTATTTTTAATATACCATAATGCCTAAGGCACTTGACTGCCAACCAGAAGGCTGGCGGTTCAAACCCACCAGCCACTCCTTGGAAGGAAGGTTGGGCAATCTACTTCCATAGTGATTCTGCCTCAGCAACCCAAGAAGGGGTCGCTATGAGTCGGGTTCAACTTGACGGCACACAACAACAT